GTGTCGCTAAAAGAAAACCCGACAATTTAAATATAAGTCATATTTAAATTTTCGGGTTTTCTTTTAGCGACACTCATATATAATAATTGCTTTAGGTGGGTTAAAATTTTGATTTAAAGGATATAATAAAGAATTATTCAACTTTAGTAGAAGATTTTCTTTAAACTACTAGAAATTAAGAAATAAAACTTTTAGCAAAAAATTATATAATAGTAAAGAATATATATTTAAACTTTCAATAAAAGTTTTATATGTATTTTTTTAAATAAATTAATTTTTTGGAGGTAAGGTTTTGTCTTTATCCTTATTTATAATTTGTATTGAGAGTCTCTGCTAGAGATCTTTTTGGCCAGAGCCGATTTCAAAAAAGTAATAAAAGAAATTCGTTCGACAATATTTAAATAATTTATGCTTTGAGATTCCTTAATGCAGCTCTCACTATTTTCATTCCCACTCAACCACACTTGTACTTTCTGAGGGTCGCACGTCGAGCAACATGCTTCTGAAGCATCATATTTTTTACAACTTTCACATACATCAATTTATTTAAATCTTTGAGCGATTCTTAATATCTACTTAACATTTTATAGATATCCGCACAATCTTTAAGTTCGAAAGAGTTATTTGGTTTAATATTTAATATTCTATCTAAATCTGCAGGTTATTCTCTTATCAACAAAAGCTAACGCATCATTCGGATTAATATTTGATAATTTATTGCATCTTTTTATATTGATCCATCTACCTATAGATATATTCGCATAAACTTAAGTGTGAATTATATAATTCTTTAGATAAACACTCAAATGAAGAAGCAGTAAACCATAAAAATCATTTTCCTAATAACATTACATGATTTTGGACCCACAGATTTGAGAGATTATATGATAATAGCCATGAAATCTTCTTATATTAAAGCACGTAATATATACGCATTTTATTGAATACGTAGCAGGCAATAAAATTTTTATATTGATTTTTTTATAAAACAAGAATTTTTAAAAGTAAAAATTATCATTAATTATTATTAAATATAACTAGCAGAAACGTCTGGTAATTTTGCTTTTCTCGGTCAACCAGTCCAAAGTGAAATCAAGATTTACTTGATTTTTTGCCGAAAAAGAATAGCAAGAAATTTCACGATTAGTGATGGATTTTAAATTCCTAATTATTGAAAAAAATTTTAAAATTTTGTGTAACAATGACAATATTTGAGAAATTTTAACACATACATTTCATCAATAATCTTCTCGACGGGTAAAGCTTCTGGTAAATCATTTTTATTACCCAAGACTAAGACTGGAATGTTTGCGAGTGGTGGCTTTTCCAGAAGGCTACCTAATTCAATTCGTGCAGCTCCCAATTTCTCATGATCGGCGGAATCAATTACGAATCTTTTCATAAAACATTATCATTATTTTCTTTTTTTATTTAATTTACTACTAGACCATTAATTCATGGAGTGGAAGGCCACTTACACTATTGCATTTACGCCCGTGCAATACTGTTCCCACAAACTACGAAAACGTGGTTGTCCACCTATATCCCATATTTGCATATTAATATATCTCATAGTGACTTTACGCAAGCTAGGTTCTATTGTAGGAGTCATATCTTCACTAAATTGACCAGACTATGCGTTTACATATTATTGTTAGCGATATTTTCTATGTAACATAACTTAATAAAATTAGGGATTTCGAATTGTTCATAAACAGCTCGACTCGGTATGATCCAGAATTGAGCAAAACCAATCCTAATTGGTTAAT